CTGAAACTGGTTTATGCTTACTCTCAATTGACCCGAACGATGAAAGTAGGGGATGGAAAGTATTTGCGCGGCGATCGGATGTCTTGTTGGGCCGTTTAAATGGAATTGCGCAGGAGTCTAATATGTACGTATTACATACATACATATGTACAACATGCCGCATAGCTAGCGGTGTAAAAAAGTATAAAAAACAATAAACGTTTTGTTGTGCAACCTCATGAACTAACCCAACAAACACTGGAACAAAATTTCCCAAAAGCTTCAGAAAATCCTATTTCTCAATTTGATTTTCAGCCATGGTACAATAATTACAGGTATTGTCTTCCCAGAGAGTTTTGCTTCATATCGGTACAGGTATTGTCTTCCCAGAGAGTTTTGCTCCCTTATTTTCATTTTGACGCAGTTCAATGTTGATTATTTTACTTTTATTTTGCTTTGCTTTTGTTTTCGCTCAATTTAATTTTTATAAATTTTCAAAACAAAAGAAAAAACGTTTGCAATTAAGTGAGCCATACAAATTTTGAATTTATTTACAAGGAGAGCTTATCATGCTTGTCACATAAGTCGAATTGAACGTGTCCAACAAGTTTTCATTGGCTTTGCACTACGTCCCCTTCGTTTTCATGACCCCATGCCCTCATACTACTCTAGGTGCTTGCTTATTAATTTAAAATCCCTACAATCTCGGAGATCTATTCTGTCTTTATCCTTTGTTTTTGATATCATTAGAGGTGTTGTGGATTGTCCCTCCCTTCTGGAGCGCGTCTATTTTAACATTCCTGCTAGAGTGCTTCGAAATTTTGGCTTTTTCAATATTGGCTTCATAAGAACTACTTATGCTGCACCCATCACGAGAGCTCTGATGGAACTCAATACTATATATAAATCGTTTGAGATTGATTTACCTCCCAAAGCACGTAAGTAAAGTAAGTAATAGTAATAGATCTAATTTGTAATTTGGTTTCTCTTGTAACGTTGTTAGCATTGAATAAGATATCCATTATGATATTGCTCTAAAATCTTTTATCCTTAATGTTTTTCCATTTTTTTTTTTTTTTTTTTTTTTTTTCGTAGGAGAGGGAACTGCTTTATGCACTGGCCGGGGGCGCTAGTCTCTATACTACCTTCCCCGAGTGTGGGACTCCCACCGAAGCGTGTTGGGCTACCCACTAAAACCCAAACTCCCACCGCCCGCGCAAGAATCCCGCATCTGGCACCGCAATTCTGCATATCTTCAGATGCAGGAGCGCGCTGTTAGAGCCTTGGGGCTGCTCTTTTGTAGGGGCGTTTCATTCGGGTGTCCTCAGTAGACAACCGTCCTCTCGTTTGCAGCGGAGTACGAATTTCACGTATCTCGCAACTGCTTCCCACTTTTCTGCGCTGGAAATCATTATCCCAACTATGTTGTCCGGAGTTATGTCTCCGTGACGTTTTTCCATTACAGTTTGTGTATTTATTAAGATTATTATTTTTTGTTAAATCTCTGTATTAGTCTGTAAGACAATTTGTTTTTGTTGACTTATTGTTTACTTGAAATAAAGAAATGTTTTTTTTTCGGCTTTTGCAAAATTAAATAAGTTCTCTGCAAGATGGTTTGTTTAAAGAAACACGTGTACTTACATATATGATATAAGGGGTATTGAAATATCCCTTTTCCCTAGCAGTAAACCTTTCAGTGTGGGCAACAATGTTATTTTTTAAATAAGGCAGATATGCGCTCTCTGGGAAGACAATACCTGTAATTATTGTATCATGATTTTCAGCATTGTTTATCATTTGACACAAAACATTTTCTAAAATTTTTGGCAAATATTGTTTATAAACTTAAGAACGGTTTGAGAAACATTTGAAAAACACGTTCCGCGTCATCTGTGTGAATAAGCGATGCCTACTTGCGGGGAATTCCCCGATTTGCTGGGAATTTGTCTCGTTGCGTGTCTCGGGCAATCGTTGAATGAGCTGCCTTTTTCGGGGAATTTTGACTATTTAATTTTAAATCATAACTTATCTAGAGTGCAGAATACTTTTTGTAAAATTTTATTTTTTGTCACAATTACAACTCTGCCAATTTCGCATTAGCAACACTATAAAAACATTGATGTCAGCAATCAAGGTGAATTTCATTCGCAGTAGAGTTGGGAAGTACCGAACATATTGTAACCGGGAAATTTTTTATCAAAAAATTACACCACTTGTAACCACAGCTCAGCTTTGAAGTTTCGTAGAAATTCTTGCGCTGTATATTTCAAGGGGAAATATTTTGTTACCTGCTTATGAGACGGTTAACTGAGATTTTTTATGTACATTTTATTAGAAATGTTAAAATATAGCTAATAAAAATTTATAATAATTTACCTTATTAATTTTTCTCTTCTTAACCGACTTCAAAAAAGCAGGAGTTTATAAATTCATCGGATTTTTTTTATGTATGTTACCGCATAACTTTGGACCACATTAACCAATTTCGATAATTCTTTTTCTGGTGCTTCAGGGGTCCCATACTAAATTGGTTTAGATCCGATCATTGGATCACGAAGAAATTAACGGTACTTCTAAATTTGTATATGAGAATTGAAGTCGATTATGTTTTTTGCTTAAAAATTACTTGTTATTGTAACAATTGAGTTGTACTGAGCCCTACAAAGAAATTTATATTGCATAAAGTTTATTATGAACTTATTGAAGAGTTAAAACACAAATTTGTTAGTTGCCTTAATTGCATGCAAATTTTAAAATGTGACTTCGTCTTTACGCCAACATCGTAATTTTTCATTATTTTTGACCGACTTCTATTCGTCGGAATATTTTTTCTGTGTACATATATTACCGCATAACAGATTTCGATAATTCTTTTTTAAAGGAAAGGTGGTAGCTCAGAGGTGGTCCCATCCTAATTTGGTTTAGATCCGATTATTGGATCAAGAAGAAATTAACGGTAATCTTAAAGTTTTACATGAAAATTGAAGACATGCATGTACATTAGGTTTTGTTTTTTTGTTAGAAATTTAATTGTTTATTTACCTAAAGCTAAATTCAAGTACAAACTAAGAGAAAATATTAAAAGATAATGATTATTTTACCTTTTTTTAAGTAAATGCTGATGAGAAATACCATAAAGTGTACGAAATGTAATTTGCAGGAGAAAAACTTGGTACAATATTTATAGTTAAATTACTGACAGGCTCAATTTCAAGTCCGCTTCTTCTGGGCGAAGTTAGCCTTAATGTTCCCTCCCGGGTATCAAGACACTTTTGTCCCCTATTTCTGAAAGCTTGTAAAACTAATTTTGAATTGCACGACCCACCCCGTTGCTTATTCCAGGATTTTAACTCTCATTCCAGCACGTTTGATATATCAGATCCGCTTTTCAGCATTAAGAAATCGATACTGTCCTCTCTCAATAAATGAATCATTAAAATAAAGACAAAAAATCGGCTGATGAATTTAGTTCTGTAGCTGAACAGTTTTAGATCTCGACACTTAACAAACTCCTGCCTATCGTGACTAGGCGCAGAAATTGAAAATAAATACTGGTACCGTACGTCATGCGGACTCGTGCGGATAGGCGGGAATGGAGGGTAAAAACCGCTGGGATTATTATATAAGTAAATCTCCGCATATTATCTTTTCATCGATTTTTAAGCCGCTTTGGGCAGCATGAAAAGAAGCCATACTTAATGTTGCATTGCCTGCTAAACTAATACGGTTAAATAGAGTCGAGTTGCGGCAAGTTTTAGCTCCGTGCATATTGGGATGACGCCAAGACCAAGCGAAATTTTAGATTCGATGCTGGAAAATGTGCTCATCAGAAATAGTTGGCCTTAACTCCATGGCTGTGAGTGCCGTGTTTTCCAGCTTAAAGAAGAAATTCTTTGCATTTTGGAACGTACGTTACAAGAAAGATACAACCTTGAACTAGTAAATGACTGTCTAGGATCCAGAATTAAAATCAGCAATAACCTTAGCCTGGATCTCAAGCGAAGGATAACTCTTGCCCTTTCGCGACGAACAAAATTTAGGGTATAGAAATCTGCCCGTTTTTTTATACGGCGCAAAAACGTGACAATGTCGAATAAAAATGGGAAGGCTTTGAAAGCTTTCGGAGAAATAATTCCACACAAAATCTATAACCCTTTACGCGTGGGCGGGCGTACCGAAGACGATATAATGGCGAAGTGTGCGAGCTTTATCCCATAAATAGTCAAATGTGATTGCGGTGGCATGGGTACGCAGAGATAATATAATGAAGCTCTGGTGAAAATGTTCGGCGCCAAGGGGCGGACCACGATAGCAAAGGCGGCCAGGACCTTTCGAAACTTGGAATGGACAATTGGCGTAACTTTGCAACTGAGAGAGGCAACTGATGACATTTTTTGGACTTGACTCAATTCGACAAACATTTGCAGTGCCAAATAAAAGAATAAGATATATATCGAATTTGGGGGCTAGTGTCGGTACTGAAAATTGATTAAAAACATAGCTTTTTACACTGTAATTAACTCAGTATCCAGAAGAAAATTGTCCTGATATTTTAGAATTTTCACTTTTAATGGTGTAGCTATTTTCCTATGAATATCCATAATATTATAGACATTTTGTATACAGCTGATAAAAACTTTTAACATCCCTGCAAAACCAAAGTTCCCGAAATCTTAATGAAATCTTATCTCATTTCTGTAACGATTTTTTACGAATCTTCAAGGAAAATTATATGAAGGGGTTGACACGAACTCGTAAAGAAATTTCTGTACGAAAAATAAAGAAAATTCTGAAAACAATCTGCAAGAAATTTTTACAGAGCAGCATCATTTTCATTGCTTTACCGATTTTCTTCTTTAGAAATTTCGTAAAAGAATCGAAATGTGCACAGTTTGTTTCATTTTAGAAAATTCGGCAAAAAAATCGGATGAGATCTTAATAAATTCTTTAAAGTTTCTGTACAATTCAGAATACTCTAATAAAATAGTTTGTAGGGATATGTATGTACATATCACACTCACCTTCAGGAGATGGTTCGGTCTCATCAAAAATTTCTTCACAAATAACCGAAGTGGATGGGGATGCAATACCCATATTCCCGGAAGTTGATGGCGTTGATGAGGATGCCGATGCCGATCCCGACGCCGACACTGACGTCGATGCCGCCGATGTTGATGTTGCCATGCTGTTATTTATAATTCTGTTTTTTTTTTTTTTATGTGACAACTCCCACGAAATTTCGTTGACTAAATCAATTTCCACTTCATTCGAATTCACTGCGGTAACTTCAGTTATTTATTGGCGCTTTACACTCTTCCAGACGATAATGAGACTTTTATGTTTGCTGCCAATCTTCAACGACCCGATGCTGCATGCCACCAATTAGATACGCGTACATATGCAGGCACAAGATTATAGTCGTTGAGATGGTTTCGAGAATTGATTTCGTGCAATTTCGCTCTTAACATTTATTCCTTTTTCGTCTTTGTCGCCGCCTTTTGCTTTTCTGTTGCCTTTGTCTTGGCTAAGTATTGTGTGTATTGGAATCTGGGAGACTCGCTGCGAGCAGGGAAGATTATGCACCGCTGACCTAAAAAGGGGGGACACAATGGGCGGTTACGAAATATCGATGCTAATTCAACAAAAGCATACGTATATACTTGAATAAAAATGTATATGTGTGTATATACTTAAATGTATGTGTATGTATTTATATTATACACGAAGGATTCACTTTGCCATGCTTTGTTATTGGTCCGTATGAATAAAAACTGAGCAATTGCTTTTTCTTAAAATTTCATACCTGTTACTTCACTTTTGTTTGAATAAATCGAGTAAAAGGTCTGAAATATTAAGAAAAAGCAATTGCTTATTTTTATTCATACGGCCCATTGTCACCGTTGTTGCTCGATCGGCTTTACTAAAATTGTGTTATGATTGGAAGAGTTGAGACAACTACATCACCTCACCACCCCACAGCACCGCAGCAACAAAATCACACATTTGAATGCATATACGAGATACAGATTTTCACCTATGCTTTATGAAGAATATTTCTACTATTGGAGGAGATATATTTTTATCATTTGAATTTGCACGAAATAAAAAAAAGTGTTTGAATTTTGGACGATTAGCTTTTATTTATTTTTTTCAAAACACCTATACGCCTTTTCAGCTGTTAAATATTGATTAAAAGCGATTATTGATTTTTCCGAAAAACTCAACACACCTTCTTTAACTTATTTCTTTAACCTTAGACGAGGCTATTTATTACAACCAACTTTTTATATTTTAAATTATTTCAAATACTGCGACTTTCTCAACCCAATTTTTACTATTTTTGCGCATTGTACTTAATTTTTTGTACTGCTATAACTAATTTTCACTTAAACAAATATTTATGCGTTTCTAGAAATCACGTTTGTTCTTCCTTAACTTCTTAAACAGTACTGATTTTTCGAAAATGTGCATACAACGTTTGAACCGCTTTCGCTATTCTCTAATTCAAGTACTACACTGCATGGTATGTACGACATGTATATATGTGTGTGTGTTTGTACGCATGCACTTTCGAAAATGTCCTTTCGCCGAAAGCTTTGCGCATGGCCCGTGGGGGTTGTATTCGATTGCTGTCATATGGTTTTCATTCTTCTTCACATTGCCCCCTTTTGTTATTGTTTTCATTCAGTTTTCATTCACATTGGTTTTGTCTGGTACAAGAATAAAAATGCACATTCTTACTCACATATGTACATACAATGTATATAATTGTAAATACATATTTACATAAGCATAGTATGTATGTACATACATATGTATGTATGTACAAACTTTCTGCGGATTCTTTACATTAAAGCAGAAACAGACAGCAGCGTTGATCCGGATCAACTCGGGAATTAACTGCAGTTGATCCGGACTAAGTCCAAGTTAATCCGGATCAACGCTGACGTCTGTTTAAGCGTTAAGACCACATTTAATCACCAAAGGGATTTGGATATAAGCCAGAATTCCGATATTATTTGTATATTGCATTATCACCCCAATTACGAGTACGTATTCTTATTTTTATTTATTTATTTTTTTTACTGTCGTTGTAACTGCCTAAGCGATTTTAGCCGACAAGGCAAGCCAGTCGTTTCTCTTCTGTGGCAACTAACACCGAGTCCTTCTCCACCTAGTCTTTCCAAGAGGAGGCCTGCGTCTTCCTCTGTTACCAGCATCGCGACGTGCGTGGAATACTTTCAGACCTGGAGCGCTTCTGTCCATTCGTGCGACATGACCAAACCAGCGTAGCCGCTGTATTTTAACTCCCAACCCAGAGCCGCCTCATCTGATGTTTTCATTGTTCATGCCATACACCAGCATGGTAACGAGTAGTTTTCGTACGTCGAGAGAGGACTTTACTTTTCAGTTTCCTACTCAGTCCAAAGTAGCACTTGTTGCCAAAAGTGATTATCCGTTGGATTCTAAGACAGACAATATTATTTTAACGAAGTCGTCTTCTTTTTTAAGTGAAACTTCTTTAGCGGCGGTTCGTTGGTTGGGAGTAAATTGACAACTTCAACGGAAATGGTGCAATGTATGTTATTAATTTAACCAAAAACTTGCTAATAAAAGATTAAAGAATAACACTAGGGAAAAGAGCAATACAAGAATGAAAGTAAAGGTGAGGACGTACATAAATAAAGAAAAGGATAAAGGCAACGGTAAAATAAAAACAAATACAAAGATGCGTAAAGATAAAAGCAAAAATTAAGACCAAGGTAAATTTAAACACTTTACTTATATAAGGGCAAAGGTGAAGGTGAATATGTAGATAAAGAAAATGCTAAAACATATAAGTAAAGACAAAGATAACTATAAAGAAAAAGATGAGGATGAGGATACCGATAAAAGTAAAGATGAAGATAGAGGAAGAAAGATCAAAATAAAGGTAATTATAGAGAAACGGATATAGATAGAGGCACAGAGACTCAATCTGGGAACTATTTTGGGATTTCAGTGATTTTCGGGATTCTCGGGACTTCTCGATATAATAATTGATGTTTTTATCGGTTTTGTTATCGGTATTGTTATCGAATTTGTTACCGATTTTTCATCGATATTTTTATCGGACACTTTTATTGATTTTTTAATCGACTTTGCTACAAACTTTGTTATCGATTTTGCTAACGAAATTTTTATCGAATTTGTCATAGATTTTGTTATGTAGTATTTATCAATTTTGTTATCGATTATTTCTGTATTTTGTTATATGTCGATAATTTTTATCGATTATGTTATCGATATTTTTATCGATTTTGTAAAAGATTTTTATTATCGTTATATTTATTGATTTTCTAATCGATTTTGCTACTAATATTATTATCGATGTAATTTAGTTGCATATTACTATCGATTTTGTAATAAATAGAGTACAAAGATAAAAATGAAGTTAAAGGAAAACAGAATAACATAAATGTAATTAGAACGAACAGGGGTCGATGTAGGGATCTAAATAGAAAAAAAGACAAAAAATTTAACCTTAAGCAAACGCAGATGTATGTATGTATGTATGTACATATGTATGTATATTGGTTATGAGACAACATAGATATGTAAACTAACCCTGCAGGGAAAGCTACTAGTTGTGAACTAGAATTCTACCAGTTTGCCTTTCAGCCCAAATAGTTCACGTTCTATCCTTTTTCAATGTTAGCGACTGTTATTTTTAACATTGCGATGTCCTACGAGATGTCAATTGTCAGGCTATCCATCAGCATCTACTAGTGGAAATACTAGTAGCATCATTCCACTTGATGAGATAGTCTTCCAATTCATCCCCCATGAAAAGCATTAGTATGCCTTTTTGCTCGCGGCGCTCCAACAGTCGCAATGGCCGACAGAGCAAAGCAATCGCGTGGTATGCCTGAGGTCCCAGGTTCAAGCCCTGGCGCAGGGAAATTTTTTTTTTTAATTTTTTTTTTATAATATTTCTTTTATTTATATTTTTTATTTACGGTGTTTTTTGTTATTCTTAAATTTAATTTAAAAAAAATATTTTTTTAATCTATTTTTTTATGACACAAGTATTTCTTCCCATATATTTGTGTGTTTCTTTTTTTTTTGTAATGCAACTAGATTTTTAAGATTGTTTGTCGGCCGCTGTGGTGTAGTGATAAGCAGTGCGCGCTTCCACTCCGCAACGCCTGGGTTCAAACCCTGGTCAAAGCAACATCGCAAAAAATATAGAAAAAAGGTTTTTTCTTAACAGCGGTCGTCCCTCGGCAGGCAATGGCAAACCTCCGAGTGTATTTCTGCCATGAAAAACAGCTTCTCATAAAAATACAATCGCCGTTCGGAGTCGGCGTAAAACTGTGGGTCCTCCGCTTTGTGTGACAACATCAAGGCGCACGCCACACATCGGAGGAGAAGCTCGACCAAACACTAACATATGTGTAAGCGCCAATCTATTATTATTATTATTTGTATTTAAATTGAAATAATTATTCCTACTTACATTGATCTAACTTTAAAATCTTAACCACCTCCAAGCGGCCTCGAACCTGCGATTCCAGAACCAGAACCAGTCTTCACGTGACGCCACATCCGACATTTGTAAGAAAAGAAATTAATTGCGTTTTATTTTAGGCTTTGGCAATTCAAAGGCAGATGTCGCTGAACGTTTAAGTTCTTCGAAAATGTCGAACTGGTAGGCACATACTAGTTTATGAACTAGTATTTTTTCTAACTGGTTTGGGTTTTCACTGCAGGGAAGTTTCACTTCTACAGTGTTGCCCAGGAGCACTTACCTTTTTTTTAACTTGTAACTGTCAGTGTGGATTCCGACACGCATATGCTCTGACTGCTTGTCTGATGACAGGAGATTCTTCGTTTTGTCCTCGTTCATCACCATCCCCACGCACTTTGCACGGAGGTACATAGCTCTTGTTTTTACTTTTGATGTCGATGTCGTTGGCATACGACAGCAATTGAACCCTCTTGTAAAGAATAGTGCCTGAGCGGTTCAGTTCTGCGGGGCTTATTATCTTCTCTAACACAGAAAAGGGAGTTAACTTGTCTGTAACCTCGTTGGGTTATTCGCATTTCTGACTGAGCTGGTCGTATTGCTCAACGTCATTTTACGCAGTGGTATTAGTTTTGCAGGGATACCAAATTCAGACATCGAGACATAGAGACAAATTCATTTCTTGCTGCCGAAATCGGCTTTGAAATCGATAAATGGCATCGATACTTGGTCAAATATCTTTGAACATGTGTGCATACATACATACATCTGTCAGGGTAATAAAACTGAACATAAAAAAATACGTACAATAATACTTATTGACACACAAAAAATACAGTCCACTTTAGAATAGAAGATAAGTAAAATACATAAACATGACAAATTAACAAAACCCCATAAATTGTAATACATTTCACTCTCAATATTTTGTACACAACCAAAATAAGATATCAATGCGTTCATCTCTTTTAATCAAATGTTCGCGCGTACAAATCGATACACCCACACACGCATTAGAAAATGCATTGATATTCTTTGCATGTATACATATAGCCGACGCAAATGCAAGCATTAAAATTATGATAAGACCAAAGCGTTGGTTTGTAAATAGTATATACCAAAAAAACATGTACATACACACACACACATACCCATGTATACACAATTAGTTAAGGAAAATAGAATTAGAATTTGTATATAAAAGGAAAATATTTAATAAACCGATCAGATTCGTAAAGACTCTCAACTAACCATTTCTTCTCCGCTTCTATTTTATCTTTTATTTTTATTTTTATGCTTTAGTTGCCCCCAGCAGAGGTAAGGGGTAAAGCATTTAATAATTTATATTTTTCTTTATATTTTTTAGTGTTTTTAGTGGTAAAGGGTAGGGAATTTTAAAAAAAGAGTACTTACAGCTCAATTTTGGGTAATTGACATGTGGTCAATCAAGCTTCGAATCGACCATAAAAAGGACCGAACATTTGGTCCATAAGAACCTAAAAAATTTAGCTCAAGCGGCAAACTAAGACGGGAGCAGATTTTCCGCAATTAAAAAAAAGAGAATACCAAGGTATGTATATAGAGCAACTAAAAGCTCAAAAATTAACTGGGAATAAATTTCCAAAAAAAATAAATAAAAGAAGCCGCTTATTTATATAGGAACAACAAAAAGGCCCTGTGATTGTACAGGCAAAATAGAAAAAGCCCTGTATTAGTACAGGCAAAACAAGAAAAGCCCTGTATTTGTTTAGGCAAAATAAGTAAAGACCCAATAAATTTTATAGGGACAAAAAAGGCCCCTGTACAGGCACAACACAAAAGTCCTGAATTTTTATAAGCACAACAAAAAAGCCCAGTAATTACACCGGCAAAACAAAAAAAAAGCCCTATATATTGTATAGGTAAAATAAAAAAAGCCCTGTATTTGTACAGGCAAAACGAAAAATCCCTATAAATTGTATAGGCACAATTAAATTAAACTGGCCCTATCAATTGTATAGGCATATCCGATTTGTTAGTCGTTGGAGCACGAGACTTGCGCATAATCGATTTATTGTAATCCCAAAGAGCAAACATCGGCTGTGAGTCGAGACACAGCAAGGACAACAAGGCGACCAAACCTATTACCTCCAACAATATACAATTGATTAAATCCCTTAAGAAAAAAATATGGCAGAATCTAATGAAGCTGGAAAAGCCAAAAATCTGGAAAGAAAAATTCAGACAGAAATAGCTCGATGT